CCCTATGTATCCCCCTATGACCCCTTTATCGGGACCCTCCTTCAGCATTGTGCTTCAGGGTTTCCAGTCAGGATTGGAAGTTTAGGCTTCAGCCTCATCCTGATTGCATAGAGTCAACGGGAAAGCGGCCAGAAAACACGGATTCCCGTGTCTTATGACCTTTCAGAGGTGTGATTGAGGAGACCTTGCCTTCGGACATAGTTAGGTGGTGAGTGAGTACTGTTCAGGGTTTCCAGTGTTTCATAAGAGTAGGGTATGGGCTCAGCCTGGCATCCCAGCTCAATGAGACGCCGTGCAGAAGGAGTGTAGCTGCCGCAGCGACTGTTCAATGGGAAGGGGATACTTGCAGCGCATTGTCGAGAACTGAATGCTTTAACATTTAGAATTTCTGCAGTTTAAAGAGCCGTCCTGAGGGTGAGCTGCTGTTTTCCTGAGCAGTATCCGGTAAGTAATTATGTTTGCTGCAGGTAATGTGAAATGCGAGTCCGCTGTCGTGGGTTTGGCCTCTGCACTGAGCACCATCCCAAAGTATGAGGTGCCGCACGCTGTAATGCCATCTTGCGAAAACAATCATGGATTGCGTGTTGGAGCACCTGTAGAGCGCTTGTTGTGTCGCCTGCATCTGGAGACACAGGCCTCAAACTCAAATCTTCATGATCAAAATCAAGAGCCGAGATCTAAACGCAATCTGAAGCTACCCCTAAAACCGAAATGCACACCCCACACCTGTCGGATGCACACCCAGCGAGGTCTCTCCAGTGTGAGCAGTCGTTACCGAAACCATCGCCATCCGCACATGGAGGTGACCTGTGTAGGTACAGAGGTGGTTGCTCAGCCCCATTTCACGTGCAAGGTTTGGAGCTCAGCAAGGTTCAAACTTTTGTTGGTGTCCCTCATTATGGACCTGAAGGTTTGTAATTTCAGCATTACAAACCCTTTCAGGACGAAAATGTGGAAAGTGTGTGTGCATAGCAGAGCAGAGTTGTCAAAGTGCTGCAGAAGGTCCAGAGGTGGCGCGGGATTTCAACACCTTCTTTTCAGTCAAGGTTGCACATGTGTTGAGAGGGTCCCACCTTGGACCTTTAGGGATCTATGGGATCTACAGTACTTAATCGGAACCAAATCTCCATATATATATATATATATATTTCGAAGCTCAAAAAGCTGTGCGTGCACCTATTGTGACCCACCTTGTGACCTGAATCTCCAGTATTTCTTATGCAGCTGCCTTCAAACTGTCAATCCTTGAGCAACCGGATCCTCTGGCAGGATCTCATCCTCGCGGCTAGCGAGACCCTGAATCGACGCATTGAGCAGGAGCGAGTGAGGCCAAGAGGGTTGTGGACAGTATTTGCTGGAGTAGCGGCATGTTCATTTTTTGTAGGGCAGATCCCAGCGCGCAGTCGGTTTGGAGAAGCTGGGGCTGGAGTCTGCCAGCCGTGACAAACTTCATTCATGATTGCAATGCAAAGAATTGCATTAGACGGCAACTGCGGTGAAAACCTGATGTGCATCCAAACGTTGGGACTCAAATTTTCGGGAGTCCCTATAACAAGTTACAGTAAATATTGGCTTTATATCAGGACCCTTGTTTTATTGACAGCTCCGCGTGTGAATTCTTCAGGTAGATGAGAGCCTGAGGACAGGTGCAAAGTCTGAACAATCAGCTAAGCATTTAGAGACAATATAGGCTCTCCCCCTTCATGGTCAGGCTTCTTCCGAAATGGTTGCGACGACGCTAATCCTAGGAACTCCACATGAGGCAAAGCTTCCAAACACAGGCAGATGCTCTTCCTCGGACCTCATCAACATGTCGCGCTACACTTTAAGGCCTGCAGATGGTTTCAGTGATTCTGGGGGTCCTTACATGAAGGCGTGTGCATGAATTCAGCACTGAAAGCTCTCGTGTATCTGAGCCATCTCATTTCGTAGGGCACTGGGTGCAGCAACTTCGTAGATGTCAAAGGTTTCAGGCAGCTGGATGGCCGCACTTTTAGGTTGTGGGATGCTGTGGGTTACTCTGCTTTTGTATGCTTAGCCTTCTTTACAAGCAATGTAGACCCCTGATTTTTTCACCCCCTCCCCTTTAAAGGGATTTTCCAGGCATCCGAATATTAAGACCCTTAAAGGAGGGGGCTTATTAATCATGGGTCATCTTGAAGCAAGGAAGCTTGAATAAAGTCGGCCGCGAATGGGCCTATCAAGGTCAACAACCTCCAGCTTGTTTTCGAAGTTGAGCAAATCCACTTGTCCACCTGCAGCAAACTTTTCCGGACCAGTAAAGAACAAGCTGTTGACACCCAGGCTTATGCTGTTTCTCCCCCTCCTAAACTGAGGATGAACCGGGCTGTTGCGCAGGTGGCTAGCGATGGAATGTTGTACTTCATTTTTGCATCCATTGTCTCGGAGAAAGATGTCGCAAGCCAAGCACTTTTTTGGAAGTCGGCATTGGCATGTTGATCCTTGCTATTGTCTTCGTTTTGAGAGATCGTGAGAGGCGCGTTCTTTCCTGCGGGTGATGTCCAGTTCAGAACCCCTGTGAGCTAAGGAACTTTCCAAAGACTTAAGCGGTGCTCCAGGTAGATTGGGGGACTTCTATGTAAGCACTATCATCGGGGATCTTTAAATGCAGACTATACTTATAGGGGGCCACTTCCCAAGTCCCCCTTCCGCGCAAAGTAAAATTGGTTTGTGAACGCCGCCCATACTCCAAAGTGGAGGATGTGTAGGACTTCAGGCCTGCAAACCAGTAATCCCCTCCCCTAATATTAAACTTACCACATTCCCGAATATTAAATATTCCCATTATGTGGTATATTATAATACCCTGGGATTATTTGATATTGGGGGGGTGGGGGGGTTTCAATAGGGGGAGGGGAGTACTGAGATCATAAAAGTAGGGCGACCTACGCTGGGACATTATTGAACATGGGTCTCTATTCATATGGGCAGGGGGGTTATATAAGGGATTATATAGGGGAGGGTTATCGGGCTTATGAACGAGGATACTAGGAGTTTAGACTATAGCTCATACGGTCTAAAACCCAATAATGAGGAATATACACTAATCATGAAAATGGTTACTGAGGAGCCAGTAAACTCTGTCTTTCTTAGTACCCCGGGTGGATCATCTTGATGTCGGGATCCTCCAAACTCCCTCCCCGTAGTCTCCTCAGGCATTTTGTTTAATTTCTAGTGAAGTGTTAATTAACCTTAATGAAGTATTTCAGATACCAATTTTTGTAGGTCTAAGGGGGCTACAGCTCCATGCTGAGGTTATCCTGCAGACCCGCTACCAGCTGATTATGGCGGACCCTTGCATGACAGAGGCGAGATTGGTCATTGCCAAAAAAAAAGGGGTTCCCCTTCACCACAAAGCAGCCTTCCAGTAGCGTCGTGGCTATTGAGAGGAGCTCCCTGGCGCGGCGCTGCTGCCCGGAGGCGTTTGCAGGGAAGAGGGGAAGGGATCCTGAAAATTGATTTCCAGATACTTCCTGGATTGGCGTTTGGGATGTCTAATTTTTCAATCCTGTTGATGTTGAAGTTAGTCCCGCTTCCTAATGATTTTCAATGGGCTCTAGAGGCCAACCCAGCTTCCGGCAATGAATCCTGGACTTATTGCATGACATGCAAGATTCCTATGGCACGTAACCCAGGTTTGTCTAGGAGCGTATTTCCGCGTGTCATGATTTCTATGATGCGTGGCCAGATGGCCAGGGTTTAGGCCGTCAGCTGACTGATGATTCGCCGGGCTTCCGTGTCTAGGGTTTAGGGTGGAAATCCCCAGAGTACTCCCTATGCACTGCACCATTGCCGTTCCCTGCTGAATAGCCAACAGTTGAAGTTCCCATAGGTTTTGGGGCTTCGAGTGCGCGAGGCAATAGCAAGTTAAGCAACGGATCCCTATAACAATGTCAATATACGCTTAATATTCCCCCACGCCCCCGTCCCTGCACACGAAGCGTATGGGTTGAGGGCCAAGGGCAGTCATGGTTTGACCACGATTCATCGGTCGCTACTAGGTTATCCGTTGTGCACTGCGTCATGAGAGTCCATGGCTCCATGAGTTGAGCATTTTTCCTCAGATTTCTTGCCAGAGTTTCCAGGCACGGGGCGGAAAGCGTTGCCGCATGAGGCCGCTCGTTTAGGGTTTAGGGTCTGGGGAGGCCCCTGGGATATTTAACATTTTCCCTAATGGCTTTAATAGGGGACCCTATATATCAATATTTTTCAAAGGGCTTTAGGGGCCAACCCAGGGGTTTAGGGAGCTTGAAAGATTGGGTTTTGTGTTTACGTGTTGGAGTGTTTCAGGGTTTCCCACAGCAGGTTCTTAGTGTTATTCAGTCCACATGAGTATTTATCCAAAGCAATGTCTATAGGATCCCTCAGATGGCCCCCTCATGATCCTCTCAATAAGTATTCCTATAAACCCTAAACCCTAAGCCCTATATACCCCAAGTTCCAAGGGTCCCTAAGACCCTAGCTTCCCCCATGTCCACCTCTTTCTGAGAACCCCCCCATGCATTAAGATTTAAGACACACCCCACACCCCAAACCCTAACCCATCTCAGACTTCCTGAAAATGACTCAAGGCTCTTGGTCTCGTACTTAGATTCAACAAGGGCTTTTAGGGTGTAGGTATTGCGGCTGGGGTTAGGGGATTGTATGCTGAGTTTAGGGTTTCTTGGTTTACATTGGGATGAAAAAGGGATGATGCAAGTTGCAAGGGTGGAATGGCGATTACATTGTTCTAGATAATGTCTGCGTGACATGGACTTCTTAGGAGTTACATGGGGAGGTGGTAGGATTTGGCGTGTAGGGCCACCATGATGGGGAATCACATGGAAAAGAATATGCCGAATGAATTCCAAACTACTGTATTTAGGGCTATATTATGGATGATGTAGTGGTTAAGGGAGGGTACCACGGAGGATGAAATTCAAAGTGGAATGCAGTCGCACCGTGGTGGATCCTAAGCCTAGAATACATGAAGTTTTGGCCCATGTTTGTAAACAGCAGTCCCAGTGACATGCTGTCAGCAGAACATGCTCCCTAAGTGAGCCCTTTCTAACACAAAGCCTCTGAACTTCTCAGAACGTTCTGCGAATCCCACACGAAATTCGTGTGAGGCCTGTGCCGTGGAATGCATTGCACAGTCTTTATCTGGGCAAATGCTAGCTGAACTCATAGCAAAGTCCACGGCCTGAAATAATCCTCAGCAATGAACCTAAGTCGTGATATTTGCGATGATCTCGGCAGGTGCCTGTAACACCTCTCGCATGGCTTGCAATTCTTGAAGCTGTGAGGCTCCCAGTTGCTACTCCGCCCGCGGACCGCGCCAAGGACTCGCCTGAGCTCTCAAATTATTCATGAGCAGGAACAAGTAGGGTTTGATATAGCCATAGCTAGTTGTAAGTGCAGTCATCCCAGTTGTAACCCAACTTAAGGCTCCCCGCGAGCCTGCAAGTAAGGTTCTGAGTTCCTGGCTTCGGGGGCTTGGGGCTTTAGGAGTAAGTGAAAGGTACCTCAGAGAGTTAGAGTTGAGCGTCCATTCGCAGCTCTGGAAAAGTCTTGAACCTTTCTTGGCTTTAGGGATTTGAGCACGTCTTTGGTTTGCCAGTAAGGGTGGTCTGGAAAGTTGTCGCCTGTAGATGTAGTTACAGCCGCCAGAAACGGCAAACGTGAGAAAGTACCCAACTGTTCCAGGCGCAGAAGAGGTTTGGGCTGTTTTCCCCCTCTTGGGGTATCCGGCTAGTTTCCCTAAATAGGGGGACCCCAATATAGACCCCAAGAATACAATAGTCCTTATTATAGGGAACCCCCACAAAAAGTACCCCTAATTTTGGGAAGTCCCTAAATCTTCCGGATGATGCATGCAGCCCTGGGGTTCATCCTTGAAGCTCTTCTCAGCCGGTTCTGGAAGGCTGAAGGTGCAGAGAAGACATGCAAAAAAGACTAAGCAATTGGGGAAAAATATTTGTCCCCAACTGTTTAGTAGGGGGGAAAATATTTTTCCTCAATTGTTGAGTCATAACCTGCTGGTTTTTAGTAGGGAAATAGGGAATATACTCCGTATATAATCGTCGTTTAATATATTCCCCTCTGCCGGCTAACAACCAGTAAGAAAAGGTTATGCTGGGATTGCCGGGCCAGTCTGAGTCAAGCACAGCACAGATTGCCAGTGCCTCTACTGATGAAATCCCATCATGAACCAGCTTCTGAACAACCTTCATATCAAACGCTACATGCGTTTGGAAATCAGGTTGAGAACCACAGTATTGCCTTAAAAAGGACCTAGGTAGATCCCTGTAGTACTACTTCGCCGAGCCTTCCCTCGACCTTGATTTTGCTGAGGCCTTCCTCCACCCGAGGAGCCTGCGACCTTTGCGGAGCGACCAGCCGAAGCCCTGGGTGGAGCTTCAGGTTTTCAGTGTTTCTCAAGTTGTCTGCATCATTTTTGGACATGATCTGCTTGTTCTACTAAACTCAGTGGAAAATATGCAGAAAATCACATAATAGGATCCCAGCGAGGAACTAGCTATGAGTCCTTGTTTTGCAAACCGATTTGTTCTTTCGCTAGGGCCGTTGGGGGTTTTCAGAAAAAGGATCTCGTTTGCCTGTATTCTAAAAAACAAGGACCATGACTCTTTTTACTGCGATGTTGTGTAGTTTTCAGCCCCCCAGTCATTGCCCGGTGTGGGAGGGAGACAGCCGATTGAAGCGGAAGTGCTTGCAGTATCACGTTGGCCAGGGCTATGGAGAGATGCTGTACCGACAGGTTTTGGACAAGGGTTGATTTGAGGGTCTAGGGTTCAGGTCCTGAAAGTGAACTCCTCTCCCCGCGAAAATCTTTGAAGCCTTATCAATCATACTACATACAGACCGCCTGAACCTTGCCATGCCGGACAACGCCCTTTGGGCCTTCGACCCTGTAGTCCCGTTCCGATTCAGAGTGTTCTGAACATGTTGTTTAAGCGTTCAAGCCTGTTGAAGTTTAGACGTGCAGTTTTTTTTATCGGAATGCTCACCAAAACGATAACGTCAGTATCTGCCTCGAAACTTGGAAAACGATAACACACTCACC